TTTTGGAGAAGAAGGGTTTGGAAAACATGTTCTCTTCATCCGAGTGGAGAACCTCGGATCTGACAGACTCCATCAACGGAAAAAATGTCGGTTACTTGGTGGCATATCCTACTTTTTGGAATGGGGCATTAGTGGTTTTGACGGCAGCTATTCCTATAGTACGGGTTTTATACTTGATAAACAAGAACAATAAGCCCCAAATTGGTCTTATATACGAACCAATGGATCGAGCCAAGAAAACAATCAAAGAGGGGTTCAAAAACAAGGAAAGCCTGTATATGCCGTTCTGGAAAGAAATAGACGACATTTGGAACATGCATCTCCACAGCCCACTGCACTGCGTCGGTTACAATTTAAATCCAACTCTTTTTTATACAGATGATTACCACAATGATTTAGAAGTTCACAAAGGACTTTTTCTTTCTATCATCAAAATGAATGGAGCTAGCCGCATTCAAGAGCTGATCATGACGCAATTACAAGATTATTTAAGGGCTAGTGATGCTTTCAATGTGGGATCCAAATGCTTATCAGATGTTTCGCCAGGTTTTTTTCATTTTAATTTTTGCTATTTTTTTGTTCTCATGGCTTGTTTGGCTATGCTTAAAAAGTCCAATTATAAGTTTACTTACAAAAAGTAACATCGCATTGTCCATGTCCAAAATAAGTTACTTTTTGAGAAGATAAGCTTTAGATATACTTTCTAGCAGAGTTGGTTATTAGAAGAAATTAAATTTGAAATTTATATTTTAGAAACTTTGCTTCTTAGTTAACTTATCCCAACTTTCAAACGCTTGTGGCAGCACTCTGGTGGAAAAAATTTGGAGAAAAATATCCTGAATTGCAACGAAATGCAACTCAAATTCTTAGCCAGAGTTGCGATGGTGCCTCAAAATTCAAGCTGAAAAGGAGTTTGGTTGAGTTTCTACTCACAAAGGGACATAACCGTATAGAGCAGCGAACATTAAAGGATTTGATATTTGTCCATTATAATTTGCAGCTACAGATTTTTGAGACGAGCCAGAGCTCGTACTTCTCTGCCAATGAGATCGGTCCAATGAATAATCGGAATGTTGATGAAGCACAAAGTGGTGACATTGACCCGACACTAATGGGCTTCGATTAATTTTGGGATCCCCTTATTGCAGGGTGATCCGTGTGGAAGGGCCATCCGTCTTTAGCTAGAAAGAGTTTCTAATAAAAATATCATAATATGTATTGAGTACTTGACTT